CACAATTCTCTTTCTCCCAGTTTTCCATACCATCAGGATCCTTGACTTGTGTACACATACTTGGCATGTTTTTCAAGCCACTGGAGCCAGGACTCAAACCCTGGTCAGTCATATGGAATCCAGCACTCTTCTACACAGCATTTAGTCACTGTACTACAGAGCCAATCCTCCCCCTCGTTTTTTTAGTTTTTTGTGTGCTTACCAGAGAGAGAGATGGAAAGAGGGAAAGTGAGAAATCACCCCCCAGAGGGATGGCCACACTGCAACCCCTTGTCCATTCTCCTTGTTTCTTAAGTAGTTTTGCCAAAGGCTTATTGATTTACTGTGCCTGCCATGTTTTTTTTTTTTTTTTTTTTTTTTTTTGAGAGATTTTCACTGTAGGGCGCGTGCGCTCGCCAGACAGACAGAGAGAGACATAGAGACAGAAAGCGAGAAATCACCCCCCAGGGGGGATGGTCACGCCGCAATCCCTTCTCCTCCATTCTCCTCTCGGGATCTTGGGCACGCACGCACACGCGCCCGGCGTGAGTTTTTTAAGCCACCGGGTCCGGGACACAAACCGCGGTCGACTACGTGGGAGTCCAGCGACATAGCCATTACGCTAACTGCTGGTTCCTCCTGCCATGTTTTTTAAGCCATTGGGGCTGGGATTTAAACCTTAGCCACATGGGATTTGGCTCCTTTAACCACTAAGCCACAGGGCTGGCCTTTTCTTTGGGTTTATTTTACTTGTCTTTTCTGAACTTCATGAGACAGAGTAATTTTAATTTTCAGGTTTCATTAATATCAGCTTCCCTTCTTTTCTAATATGTTCATTTACGACTATTATTTTCCTCTACTGCTTTGGTTGCATCTCACAGGTTTTGATATGTAGTATTTTCATTATTGTTCTTTTATGTAACAGACATGATGTATAACAGACACTGGGCTAGATGCCAAGAGTTCAGAGTATCCAAAACACAATACCAGCACTTAAAGAGCTCATAGTCTTGGGACCAGCAGGTGGTATGGTGGTTAGGGCACTAGACTCCCACATGGCTGACTGCAGTTTGAGTTCTGGAGCTGGCGGCTTGCTTTCTCACTTTCCCTCTCTTTGTCTCTCTCTGGTGAGAGCATATGCCCTATAGCAAAGTTTTTTAAAAATAGTAATAAATACAATGAAATAAATACTTCTTTTTAAAAAGTGGTTACAATCTCAATGCAATAATAGCTATATAAGCAGGTAGGTATTATATAGCAGAATTATAAGTGTCATGTTTGAGGAATGGAAACACAAGCAGATATCACAGGATAAACTGCCTCACCTTGTCAAAGGAGGCTCCATGGAATAGATGGGGTGACATTTTATCCATCCAACCATCCATCTCACCCTCTCTCAACTCATGTAACAAACATTTGTTGAGCACCTGTTCTGTGTAAAGCCCTACTAGGTGCTGGAGCTGTGGCTAGGTCTTGAAGGATGAGAAAAAGGAGGATGGGACAAGGTGGAAGCAAGGTCATAAGCAGAGGGATTAGCCTTGCAAAGGCCCGGAGACGGGCACAGAAATGCATGATGAGACTAGAGGGACAGAGAATGGCTTGTTCACTGAGGGCTGGGGAAAGGTGTTTGGATTTTTGTCTTTTGGTTGGAAATGAGGAGCCACTGTGCAACATATGTAAATAAACTGGGTTTGTATTTTAGATACTCCGGCAGTAGTGTAAGTCTGAGGCAGAGATCAGTAAAAGGCTCTTGGACTAGGTTCAGAGCTAGAAGGACAGCAAATGTGGAGGGCGAGGATCAATTCAAAGAGGCCTAGGAGTTGGAACCAGCAGGACTGAAGGCCTCCTGGCATGTGAGAAAGGATAAAACTGGTCGCTTAGAAGTTTCTGGCTTGTGTAATGAGATGGATAAAGAATACCGAAAAGGCCTCAGGCTTTGGCAGAGAAGTTACACGTTTGGTTTTGGAAAGGCTAAGTTTGCCACAGAGAATGCTAGCCAAGAGCATCTGGTCTAAGGAAGCAGGAATAAGCGAAGGAATATTTCTGGAAGTCAAGAGAGGATCACTGTCTCAGTTTGCTTTCATGGTGCCTTTAAATGATAAAAGGGGCTGCTTCTGAGCAGACTGGCTAGGAAAAGGCAACCCGTCTTCACACAGACTCAGCCACGTGGCTGGCAAGAGGCCCAAGCAGGGTTTCAGCCCCTTTTCGGTTTTCGTCCCTGCAGCTGGGCATCTGTCTACCCTGTGCAGATCACACCCTCAAACACAGGCACTTCGGGACTCTTTTTGGGCTCGAGGCTGTGCCTAAAGGCCAGCCCATTTTTCTCCAGTAGCAAAAAGATGCAAGACATGAGTTGGCTGGGAACTTGGTCAGGGAAGAAGTCCGGTTGTTCCCGAAAGGTTTAGCATCCAGGCCTCTTTCCAGTGGATTACATTTAACCTCATCTCTCATCTGTGAGAGGGGTTACCGGGGCCCCTTCCTGTCACCTCAGGGCATTGTGAGGACTAAAGGAGACCATGTATTTGAAGTCTCTGAGGCAGCGCTGCACCCCCAGTTGCTGGTGGTACCACTAACTGGCAAAAGGAATGGTTGAGGTTAAATGAAGACTATCTCCTTATGCGTTTTGATAGCAAGAGTTTCAGATAGTAAGGCTTAGGGAGGGGAGGGGCAGGGCTGAGAGGTGGGAGAAAGAGAGGGGAGATGCAGAGATATCTGCTGTGGCAAGGGTGGTTGCCGAGCCTGGCCATGTTGGATTGCAGCTAAAGGGAGGTGAGCTCAGAAGTGCCAAGGAATGGAGCAGAGTTGCCTGGGGTGAGAACCTGGCAAGTAGTCAACATACTATTTGGTAAGAGTGAGGCAGAAAGGAAAACGCCATCTAGGGAGGAAGAAATGTGTGCTGTGAAGGGCTTGGTAATGGTAGTGGTGATTTGCAGGGCCAGTCCTGAAGCCTAATGAGTAAGAGAACTAGATTCTCATGGCCGACTGCATGGTCTCGGCAGCTTGAGAGGCACTTTGGGTGCATGTGCCTGCATGCCCAAAATCCCCACAGGGTGAGAAAATAGGGGAGAAAGGATTGTAGCCCGACCATGCCTTCTCTCTTCCTCTCTCTGTCACTCTGGTGGGCACACATGCCCTCTGGCAATTATAGTAATGGTGATTCAGAAAAAACAGTTCTTCAGAATGATATAGAATCCAATGGCAAAAAACAGCAAGATGATGCTCAATTTGGCATCCTGAAGTCCGTCTTCTCCTTCCTATTTAGTGAGCATGGATGAAGACTAAATGGGAGGACTAGAGGGTTCCTTGAGGGATCATGGCAGGCAATGTGTTCTAAAGGGCAGCAGGTTTCATGCCGGACACAGGATAGCCAGAGGAGATGCGCTCTAGCTGGTGTACTGGCGTACATCTCAGAGAGAGTTTGATGGCTTTTTGGACAAAATACTTATTTTTGCCCAGCTGGGACTATGGTTGGGGTTTCAAGTTTGGTATGGTGACTGAGGAATCTAGATAACTGTGAGACAGATGCACCCAGCCATTTAGGTTCCAACTAAGGGAAGAAGTGTCTTCCTGAGCGATAAGCCACTCCAGCCTGACTCCTCCTGGGCAGCAGGCAAGTTAACCAGAGCAAGGCTGAACCGGAATCCAAGCCAGGCAGACCTAGTGAAGACCCAGGAAGGACCATTAGCACAAGTCCAGCACTTGCTACTTTACAAGGATCTTTTACAGAGCACATCTCATTCAGTCCTTGTAACGCCCCTCTGTGGTAGATGAAATTATCTGCATTTTATAGGTGATGAAATGGAGACATAGAAGTTTCCAGAAGATGCTGGAGCTATTTACCTGAGGGATATGGACTGATTCTTGTGAGTTGTTACCTCTTTAATTATTCGTAGCCTTCAGTTGAAAGCCACTTGGGCTGACAAGTGTACAAAACTAGCTATTCTAGCCTTCGAAAGGTATGCGTCCTCTGCATTGGAGGCTGAGACTCTGTCTCAGATGGACTTGAAGGCCCTACAGGGCAAGTCATGTCCCCAAGACCCTGAGACTCTGAGGGATGAATAGGACCTAGACTGTAGGTCCCGACCATAGTGTGTTCCCATGAGTGTGTGTGTGTGTATGTGCGTGTGTGTATGTGCATGTATTTGTGCATGCACACAGCAAGTGTGTGTCCAGACATGCTCGAAATAGGTTCTGTCTTCTCTAGGGACACAGCAAGTGCATACATACACGTTCATGTGTGTGTCTATGTGCCTGTGAATGTTCAGGGGGAAAAGACTAGAAGAAAAGAGCTGACACACACATCTCTGTCTTCTGTTCTCCCGTTTCTTCCTCTTTCCATGTTTCCCCCTCATTCCTCTTTCCTCTTTTTCCCTTCTGAGCTTAGGTGGCACCATGCATGTATTTGTGCATGCACACAGCAAGTGTGTGTCCAGACATGCTCTGGAATCAGTCTGTCTTCTCTAGGGACACAGCAAGTGCATACATACACGTTCATGTGTGTGTCTATGTGCCTGTGAATGTTCAGGGGGAAAAGACTAGAAGAAAAGAGCTGACACACACATCTCTGTCTTCTGTTCTCCCGTTTCTTCCTCTTTCCATGTTTCCCCCTCATTCCTCTTTCCTCTTTTTCCCTTCTGAGCTTAGGTGGCACCATGATTAAGTCCTGTGGCACGGGACTTGTTATTCAGCTTTGCCCTGTGTTACATACCAGAGGGCAGGGTCCCTCTGTGACTGAGACTTGGTCACCTCACTTAGTTGCTATATAACCCAAAGTGCTTCTGCTGACAGTGGTCTGGAGCAGGTGGGGCAGGCCGAATTTGGGGCAGCCTCTCCAGAGACCAGGTCTCACCTCAGCTCTGATTCCCCTGTGTCTGTCAGTCTCATGGTTGGGTGGGGCCAGAGGGTGCCTGTGGCTACAGTGGTTTGTTTTAGAGGTGAAGATGCAGTTTGTCAGGGGACACTGAGGAAAGTTGTCTGTCATGGACAGACTGGGAGTCAGCCTATCTGTCTCCTCCCCACAGCATCAGGTGAGAAGAAGGAAGGCTGGTCGTGGGAGGCCTACCTCGAGGAGCAGAAGGCCATCACCGCCCCGGTCAGCCTCTTCCAGGACGTGAGTCGGACAGCTTCCATCTAGGAAGAGCTAGCCTTCCTCCAGGGACCCACCACCAGTCTCAGGTTTTCTGGTGTTCTCTATGCCTGAAATTCCTCAAAGGACTGGCAGAATGGAAGGAGGAGAAACTGGTTAGGGGTCTGGAGTAGAAATGGGCCCACCATAGGGGACTTCTGGGATCGGA